TGAAATTACCAAAAATTCTGCAAATACCCTCTGGTCAAATAGATTGAGTTTATTTTGAGGAATTTTGGTGACACTTCATTGGGGGAACACTTAACAGCTCATCAAACACCATTAAGGGTTAGAACAGTTCACAAGATGCTGGAAAGTAGAAATGTACAAATTCAAACTGTTGTTTTCTCAGGTTGAAATAGTACTTATTAACAAAATACATTTTGTCTTCTTCAAATTCTGAATTTTAGGTTGTTTAAGTATTGTACTCTGCCATTTTCAATGCTAGAGACCAATGAAATTTGTAGTAAAGTCTTAACACTTCCTATGTCTTTTATTTCATCCTGATTTTATTATTTTTTTAAGAGACCTTTTAGAACAACACCATGTTACTAAAACTGAAGTTCAGGTTCATAAGGATGACTTTATTTTGCTGATAAATCTTTTCAAAGAGATCTACCTGCTTTGTGTACCTTTGCCCAGTCTGAGATGTTTGAAGCAAGAAATATCTAATTATAGCAATTGCCAAAGAGGTGTAGATTTGCTCTTCAGCAACCTGTTTGTGAAAATGTTACTCCACTATCTGAAAAAAAAGCAAGAAAATTGTCTCCCTGGGTTACTGCATATGATAGTGAGCAGTATTCATATAGGAATTTACAACAGAATACAGACTTTGAAAGCTGCAGTGAAACGACATGACTTTTCAATTAATACATAAGAAGATAGCTGGAATGTGAGATAATAAGAATAAATATTGAAACAAAGTATTTTAGTCATATATGCAATTTAATTTTTTTTTTTTTTTTGCATTTACCTTAATTTTCAGACCAAAAAATGACTGTGGCTATTCAGTTTTCCTCTAAGATTTAAGATTTTAAGATTTTTTTTCCATTGACATTTCCTTCTTGAGTTTAATTAAGCTTTATGAATTCCTGTAAGGTTGGAAGACTTAGTAGAGGCTTAGATATGCTTGCCTGGCGAGAACACAGTTATTTTCAGACTAGAGCTGGTTTTAATTGGATGGTGGGGGGGGGGGGAGTATATTGCAATAAGTGAATCAAATTCATGATAAAAGCTACTAAAATATTTACAGCCTAAAGAAGAAATAAATGATCTGGCAAGATGTTACAGCACTTGATGCAGATGGAAAACTTAATATGAGGAACAATGGTTCAAAAAGAAAGAAAGGGGAAATAAGAAAGAATTGACTAAGGCTTAGAATAGCTATTAGAGTATCTATATTGTACTATTTTTCCTTGGTCAATTAGGCATACCACCATGATGACATCACTTCAAAGTCCTCATTTAATCTGCGCCTTTTTATTATCTTTCACACCTTTTGTTGTGGTCAAGAACCTTGTGAAGAATGAAGTGGATGTTAATATTTATACAGCACTTAATGTAATTGGGTTCTGACCTGGCTAGGCACAACAGTTATATAAACACATATTAAAAAAAAAAAAAAAAGAGAATTGCTCCAGCGCTTAGCATGCAGTAGTTCCTTGATCTGAGTCTTTGCTGGTCCTCTGAGCACAGGAAATATTAGACACATTATGACACACAGAGTGTGGTCTGTCAATAAATTAATATTTAACAATCAAGATTAGGAGCTGAATGTTAGCTTTAGGAAAACACTCTAAAATTCCAAACTAAACTGCTTCCCTGAAAACAATAGGCAAAACCTAACAGAAACCAATTAACTTGAAGGGTTAAATAGACATTTGCAGAAGTACTATACTTAAGGTTTTAAAAATACAGGTTTAGGAAGAGCAGTGACTTAATATAGAATAGTTAAACATACATTAAAAAAACCAAGACCCTCTGCAGCTGAACGGCAGAGGTGTAGGGAGGGACAGTTTTTTTCCCTCTAGTTAAAGTAAAAATATTGGTTAAAGACCAAGTGTAAGGGAAAGAGATGTTGTAGGTCTCTCTCAAGAAAATTGTTGTTCTTTTCCTAAAATAGCCAGTTTTAAGGAAGTATGCAGCTCTTTAGGTATTCATAAAAAGTGTTTCTCTCCAAAGATAACCCTGTAGCACAACAGTAGAAGCACACATGTAATGGATTTACAGAAAAGCAATTCTCCTGTCTCACTCAGAAGACTTAAAGTTTTTGCTGTCTGTCAGGGTGGTATACTTAAAAAAACAAAAAACCCAAACCCAAACCAGAAGCTGGCAAATACATGGAGAAACTGAAATGTACAGGTAAAAGCATAGGCAAAAAATTACCACAAATACGGTATGAAGTGTTTAAATATTTTTTTGTAATCATCAACCATTTTTTATGTCTTCAGCCATGTGAATGATACACTTATCAGTATACAAATGACTGCATTTCCATTTCCTGGTCAAGAAATTTTTCTTCTAGCTGTTGTTTTGACCTTTTCTTTATATATGTTTATAAATCTAAGACTGAGGGAATGCAGAATCAAAGAAGAATTATTAAATATGATATGACTGCTGCATGTCTTCCCTTTTTTTCAAATGTTTAGTATTTGTAGAATATGCTGTAAATCTTTGCTAGCAAAATGAAACTTTAAATATTGTGTAATTTGGACCTCAGTGGAACGCCAGCCAAATCTCATTTTTGTCACTGTTTAATGTAGGAATAGAATAGTCTGTGTGCAAGAAAATGTAGACCATTATAACAACATTTCAAATTGAAATTCAGTTAATTTTTGTGTGATTTTAAAGACTTTCTTACTTGTGATTGTTTGCAGTACTGTCAGAAAACTGGCTTAGGTTGGTTATCAGAAGCTGATGCAAATAGCTCATCCTTTAATACATTTATTTGTGGCTTTAAAGATTGATTATTCTATATCCATTTTGATCATCAAGATTGAAATATTCTGCCATTCTTCGTTTCTATCCCAACTCTGTTTTCCTTCTTTGATCCCTTGTAGGCCGCAAGACATTCAGGATAGTGTCTTGGGTTTAACTGTATACCTTCACTTGATACACTCAAAACTCACGTTTGTGTTGCACAGGATTTGTGCCTTGCTCATTCCCTGGATGATATAAGAGTATGTTGTACAAGCTTGCTTCATTCAACATTTTAAGCCTCCATTGTATCAGCTAATACAGTAGGCAAGGTTTCTGATCACAGCGCTTTCTCAACAACACAGAGCTGATGAAGAGCTTCCCTAATTGCAGCTGAGGAGAAAATCCAAGGACACCAAAGGATGTGCTTCCTGATCAGTATGCAGAGTGCAGTCCTTGGGGCTGCATCTCCCCCTTCTTCCACCCATCCCCACACTTCCCTTAGGAAATTGCACTGGCAAGTAAAATAGAGAGGGATGCAAAGGACTGTGCATTTTGGCTTAAAGGCTCTGAGAACTTCTACTGAATGTAGCATGTCAGTATTCAGAGCTGGTATACTAAGTTTTATCTCATTGCAACTTCTGTGAAAGATTATGAGGGGAAGCTTTCTATTATATTAAAGCTGGGAACAAAGGAAGGCAAGAAATAAAGATTTCTGATTAAAAGAAAATCATAAATTCAAATACTAGGGAGCATTCCTGAGTCAATAAATCATTTCATTATAGGTTTGTTTGTGTAGGCAGTATTTGTTCCTGAATAGCTATAACACTGATTCTAATAGTTTTCGTCACTAGAGGCTCCAGTAAAATCAGAAAAAATCAACTTCTGCTTGCATGAACACTAGCAATTATACTACCCTATTGAACTGGTATTAAAAGGAGAAAACTAACAAAGAAAAAAAAAAAGCCAACATATCTTAAAGAAGTATGCTATCCTAGAGATTTTGATATTTGCCTTTAATATAACACTAGGCTATATTTGTTTTTACAGTCAACAAGAACATCTAGCTGTCTGACACAGTGCAAGTGTATGTGCAAAGGCACATACAGCATAGGAAACAAGCAGGAGGAACTAGAACTCCACAGTCACAAAACTGTCACGTTGTTGAGTTAACAGATGTCGAGGACAGCTCTCATTACTGTAGTGCAGCAACAAACACAAAGCTTAAAGAAGAGTTTGAGGAAATAATTTTCACTACTGCATTAATGGCTTGCTCTCATAGCGGCTAGTGTCTACAAAGAACCAAGTTTAGGGACAGAACATGCACAACTTAGCTTCAGCCTTAAACTAAATTAATTAGGTAAGTGGTATGACCCAGGCTTGAAATCTGTTTTAAGGACAAGGTGGTACCAGGTACATCAGACAGATCAGCTCTCATTGCCCTCATCCAATGCTTTACAGCCCGACCCAAAGGGCAAGGTCTAATTATTAAAAAAAAAAAAAAAAAAAAAAAAAAATTGCTGAGAGAACTCTTTGGACAAAGCCTCTGGAAAAGAATTTGTGAGAAAATTTATTTTCCTAAGTTTGTCTTGCAAGAGTTTTTGCACTGCTGGGGCATTTATTTTGGAAAAGTTTAAGGGAAGCTAGTATACTTTAGTCAAGAAATTTCATGGAGTTAAATTCACAGCCTCTATACAGGAACATCTGTAGTGGAAGGAGTTTGGAAAGATGGCAAATTCTGTGGTGTAGATTTACTCCTATCTCCTTCATGCTCAGGTCTCAGCCATTCCAGTCATCTGATTTTTCAATGAAGCACGTTACACTGGTTAGATATCTTCCTTTTGTAAAGACAAATTAAGAGGAGATTTGCAACAAAGAGGGAAAACTGTGCTACCTGACAGCTGAATTTTCTGTGCTGAAATCTATGACTGAAAGCACCCAACCCTATCCATTCTTTGTCTCTGTTCTCAGGAGGAGAGTAACCATCTGTAAAAAGGAGGGGGAAATTGTGCTGGCAGTAAAACTCTTATTTGTCTAAAACAATATTAGGTCTGCAGAGGGCTACAATGAGACACTCTGAAGAGTCTAAGCTTTAGTAAACAATCATATTTATATAAAATCTGCCTGTGAAAGTATTGCAGGGCTTAGAAATCCCTAGAACAATAAATCTTCTTGTTCTTCCTGATGGAGATAGATTCTAAGGTCATCAACTATACGGATCAGATGAGTCTCACATGAATGCTTTGGCCCAGAGCTGCACTGGTAATAAACAGGATTTTTATTACATCTCTAAGTGCTCCATGACACGTGTTAAATTACTGTAGGCTTCAGAAACTGCAGTTCAGAAGTGTTGTACAATTGGATAGCTCAAATTAGTTCCCTTTGCTCCATTTCAACATGATGCCTCAGCTTCTCCTGTAGAAGAAGAAAAAAGACTTTTGTTTCCTTTATTCTAATTGGCATTCAACTTCTACATGATAATGGTAAAGGAACTTAAGATTTTTTTTTGCATTAATTTATAAAGGGAAATTTTTTTTTTTTTTTAACAACACTGCAATTTTTAATTTTTTTTTTTTTTTTTTTAAAACTCTGATGAACTCTTTCATTTTAAATCAGTTTGTCTATTATTAATCTAAGGCTGCATCTAAAGTGCAGGACCTAGATGCCCTTCTCAGCTCATGACAGCTAGATACATCACCAGCTTCCCATCAGCCAGGACAAGGTCATGCACTTGCTTCCTCCTGGCTGTTCTCTTTATGCTAGATAGAACTCAGTGTACAAAGTGGAACATCTGCATCTACAAAATATCTCCTCCTAAGTGAGCTTTTACTTCAATAGGAACAGCAGTAAGTTCAAAGATACTAATCCCAAGATCCTTACTCTTTTAGTTTCTAATTTAGATTAAATTTTTGTTAAAATCACTGAGTCCTTGTCTTTCACAGGACCTTGTTATCTAGGGTATGCTTCAAAGACTATCAAATCAATGCAGGTATCTGAATAAATGTTGAGTCTCTGTTAATTCCAGTTCTGTGACTGGCCCTGTTCACTCTATTGCAAAAATCAAGACTAATAAATTTTCATGTACCATTGTGAATCAAAGTTCCCTCCTCTTAATCAAGCACTTCAGGGAAAACACACAGAACAAGAAAATACTGCAGACGAATTCGCTGCAAAACTGAACTATCCGACTTGTGGCATTTTTGCTTTGTTCCTGCAAGCAAAGCTAGGTATATATTCAAATCTCTGCTTTTACTGAAAAAAAATATTCCTGAGTTTTCTAATCAAAACATATTGCATAGTCTTTAGCTTATTTTTCCATTTTATTTAGTATTTGGTATGAAATAGTAAAAATTTGAAAACAAATATTGTACATTTACAATCAGTTATAGGGTAACTATTTAGCAAGTGAATATTCTACTTTGTAAAGAGAGAAGAAACTTAAAACCTGGAACTGCAGTCATTACTACTCTCTATTACTGAAACACTGAGAAACCTTCAAAAATATTCTTTTTCTTCTTGCATTCTTGGCAGAAATCACCCTCCACATCCTTGTAGAAAGAATGCAAAGCATAATCTGACCTTGAGGTAGGTGGTGCCTTATTATGGCAAAGTTATTCCTGTATCACACGCATCAATATGGACTTTACTAGTTTCATCTTCTAAGAGTTTCAGGAAAAAAAAACAACAAAAAACTGCAGAGGAAACAACCACTGTAATTTTTATTCAGAATAGTAACTCAATAATTGAAGGTTAGCAGTTTGGGTCAATTAGAAGGAAAGAAAAAAAAAAAAAACCTTTAGCAAATGTTAGTGAAGTAATTTTATTGTGAAGTGAATCTTCTTATGCTTAATGCTTGTTTAAAAGGAGAAATCTTGGAAAGTTAGTGAGAAATAACTTAGGGAAGATTTAAAGTAGAACAGGTCTCTGTACTAGCTTTTCTGATCTTTTATTTTTTTCTGGAAGCAGACTTAAGCTGGTATCATAGTAGATCATTTAATTCAGTGTTATTTACACCTGAAAATCTGTAAAATTACTTTTTGTTTAAATATGACAGAATTGCTGAAATGACTTTCTAAAAATTATTTCTAGGTGTCAGTAGAGAAATTTCAAAGTGATAAGTAGAAAATACTATCATGTCATATAACTTCTATTCATAATAGCTACTTTATTTTTGATATTACATCTTTCTTCAGTCATTTGTTTAAGCTAAACTATTAGTTAGAATTAGAAAATTTGAGTACAATGTCTACTTATAAATATTTTTTCAGGAATAAAGAAGCAGGAAACATTTATGTAGTCACCATTCCATGTGTTTTGTGTAGCCTTTTTTAAGAGTTACAAAGCTGTCATAATTTTTCCTGAGAATCACATCTTCAAGGATAGTTCTGTGATAGCGTTCTTGACCAAATTTATACTTCTTTCCACCAAACCTCCTCTCTCATATATTGACTATTTAACAGTTTATCTTCCATAGCAGCCTTTCCTTACAACCATGTGTAGGTTTACCTTTGGTCATGGCTCATATTGTTTCAGCTATTTGTTTTCATTAAAAAGTTCAATATCTCTTTACATTTATTCTAGGAAGCAGATATTATGTCTGCCAGCTTCAAAGAGAGTTAATTCAATTATTAGCACAAGAGGGTTTCATAACTTCAGAATTATGTTTCATTAGTCCTATCCATCAAAACATGCTTGTTGGCATCATGAGAAAGTTAAGACACTCAACATATCAAGTTCTAAGGTCATGCAAATAGATTCTATGCCTGCAGCTTGTCAAGTGCATCCATCTGGAACACCCATGGGTCAGGGACAATACTACATCTATTATATATTGGAAAGAAATATCTTCTGTTGTACAGAGGACGAGCATAAATTTGTGAAAACACATTTTTGGGAAAAAAAGAAGCAAGTTGCAAAGAAGTCAAAACAGACTCTGTAGCAAAAGTATTCCTCAATTTTAGGCTAAACAGCTGATAGAATGTGAAATTTTTTTGGTGATAAAATTCAGTCCCATATTCTCAGTAAATTTTGTATCAATGCTTTTCTTTGTGCTAAGCAGTATTTTTATAACACTGCAAAAAACTTCTTTAATCATGTGTGTGACACTACTAATTTTGATAAGAAGATTATAATTTAATTCACACAATAATTCTCATAGCATTTTCATGTTAATGTTTCAAAAATAATCAGGGTCTGCCCTAAACCAGATCTGTGCAAAAGTAAAGAGTTCTTTCAAGCAGTAGATTGCACACTTCCAGATTAAGTTTTCAAAGGCAGGCTATTAAAACAGTCTCCTACATCCTTTTATATATAATTTTAACTCATAAAATATCTCCACAGGGGTGTACACAGGAGGATTAATTGTGAGTTGAACCAAACCAGAATTGAACTTTTTTTTTTTTTTTTTTTACTGAGAAGGCTTAGGAAGAGATGCTGCTATATAATTTTTGTCCGACTTCACAAATACTTTCCAAAGAAGTACGACTATGTCATTTCTAATTGCATACTAGAAGAAAACAGCTTATAAATGGTGGATGCACCATATTACTCCTTAAACCTTAGTTTAAAAAGCAGATGGAATTAATCTTTGTGGGATATTTTTCATCAGTTCGTTTGAAGTTGGGTGTTTGATATAGAAGTTTTTAGTTGGAAATACCACAGAAATGGCTAATAGATGCCAGTTTATAGTCCTCACTTGTTGCTTTTTAATCTGAGCTAGACAGACAGAGGAAATCCCGCACAGAAGGAGACTCTTTTAACATCAGATACAACGATACTGAGGATGATGGTAAAAATTGCCCTGAAAGGCCAATGTCCCATCCCTCAGTATTGAAAATATTGGTAATCACATCACCACAGTCAAATTTAGCACCACAGAGATTTATATGCATACAACACCACACTTCATGCCCAAAAGCTGTTACTCCAAAGTGTATTGTTGGTCTGGGAGTGTATCTGCATCTACTGATACCATGATAAATATCTGCTTTTCTTCATCTCAATCATCAAAAATGTCTTGTTTTTTTAAAGGAAACTTGGCTGGCAGTCTCTTTGATGTCAACTTGAATCTTTACACTATGGTGATATGATGCCTGAAGTTTCTCTCTCACTTAATTTCAACACACTTTTTACATTAAATTTGAGACCAGAGGCATCTTTTTAGCTGTTTCTCAGATGACTATTACATCATCCCATCAAAAGGACTTTGTCAAGAGCATATAACTTTCTTTTTTACCAAGCAACATATTTTTAATGGTAGCATACACCATTTTGCAGATTTCATATTCACAATATTTCTTATATCATTTCAGTTCTTAGGGCCTACTAAGGCACTGGAGTCTTGAAATAGTTAATGACACCTATACAAGCAAACAGTAATTCTTCCCCAGAAGTCTATGTCTATAGTAATTCCTGATTCTTCTAATTACAGCCAATTCAGAGACAACAATCAAGCTTCACTTTTTCTCCACCCACGATCAAAGTCTGATTTAGGAAGTTTCAGTTCTAAATATGAGTACTGGATTTTCAGGGGTATTTTTCACAGAGTCTGTGTCAGTGTATTATAAAGCAAACAAACATTCAAATCCATGTTTTGAAACACTACCTTGAACATGAATTAAATGGCACTATGAAAACCTGGCCTTATAAATTTGAACATTCCCTATTAAAGATCTAAGGAATAATTAATTTTATTTATCAAATATTAGTGATAGAACACTCTTTTACAGTTTGTATATTCTGCTTTCCTCTTTCATGTTAAGTTTTATTTCTGAAATGGAAAAAAATATTCTAAGACTGCTCAGAGTCCTGAAGAAACATCATATCTTAATTATGCTGTATTTACTGTTTTAAGGGAGTTGAGAGAAATAACTGTGTGATCATTTTTATGTACAGATTGCTGCAGTAACATTGCATCTCTTTAATATAAATGGACATCACAGTTATAAACTGCCAGTCCACATTAAATATCTGTAACATTAGCTATAACTCAGTAGCTGGATTTGTAAAGATACCCCTCTTGCTCTCTTGCTAGAGAATGTGCTGCACCATAAAGCAGTGCTTATCTCCAAGTATAGCTGTGCACACAGAGGTTTTGAGTAGGATCTGGTACCCTGCCTGGGAAAAGACTGAACTCAACGGTTATTTTGTGCTACGTATTGCAGAACACACTGCTGCTGAACAAAGAGCAAAACCTGAAAAAGAATGGTGTCTAGGGTCTTATGTTGGGCCCCAGCCCCGCTGGGGTGATGAGATAATTAGCCCGGGTGAATTATTTTAATTTTCTAACCAAAGCAAACTTTTCTTCTGAATCAACAAATAATAAGCAAATAAAAATAAAAACAATGATAAATGTTTTATCTTCTTGAGCTTCTCTTCATCCCTTGGTTACAGCGCTATGATTCTTTTGTTAGCTCTGTCTGGCAAACCTGTGTGAATCTGGACACTCTGTTCCAGGCCTGAAGCAGAAGAGCTGCTGTTCATTAGGACCTCAGATTTCTGATCTTCTGGTCCCCCAAGGCTTTTCTCTCCTCTTTTTCTCTTAATATTGGTGATTTTTTTTTTTTTTTAATTTTATTTAACTGAACTTCAATGAGCTTCTCATATTCCCCTCTACTAAATGATCCCCAGCTACATGACCCTTTTCTGTTAGGCCTTGGGATGAGTCAAAATATAACAAACAGACCTGTGTTCTTCTTAGATACTACAGTAATGTTATTGGTGAATTGAACACACTATTTTATGTGTTTATGCTACTTCTCTTAATTAAAATAGCACATATTTCCTTAGGAAGTCTATAATCCGAGCAATTTTTTTTTCCCCCTAAATTTGAAGTAATCTTAAACTGGAAGGAAAAACAGATGAACAAATTTTTGTTATAGTAGGTTTTTAAGAGTTCTACCAGACACTTCAATGTTTTCTGGTATACAGATAGGGAAATGAAATATATGGCAATGACGAAGAGCAATTATGACATTTTTTATCATGCTAATAACACCTACATGTAATCACAGTCACTTTAAAATTTCCTTTATTTGAATCTCTTCAGCTTCAAATTGTTTTTCTACAACTACATCCTAGCAGTGATACAAATACTATAATGTGAAGAGGGGATACCATTGTACCTCATAAATGTACATCAAGGGCAATGCTTTAATAAAATATATGTTGCTTTGAAAGTGATGCTCCTATTAATTTCTATGGAAACCAAAACAGATACAAAGAGCACCATAACACAATTTGATAGAACAGATTTTTGGCTGCAAAACACTATTTTTCCACATAGTCACCACCATTAGCCAATTTGTGTGGATGAGCTTGTCAGGAAAGTCTTCATTTTGGAGTGTGACAGCTGTACATGGCCACTGAAAATATGGCATGCCTTTCACATAGCTGTTGCTACTACTGAAACGCACCACCCACTGCCTCGTGCTCACATCCACTGATTGGTCTCCATAAACGTTCAGCAAGCATCAATGAATGTCAGTGGGTACAATTTTTTTCCACATGGAGGAATTCAGTAATGCTTCTTCACTTCATAAGCACTTCCATGTCAGATACCATTTTGTCAGACTGCCCCTCTGCTGCCATCTGTCACATGGCCATACCACCAACCAACACTTGCCTCTGATGAAAACATTACTTTCGGATCAGCTCTCTAATAATTTACCTCAGAGTTCAAAGCATATTTTGCAACGACTGCATTTAATTGTAAATATCTTTACTGCTACACATAAAGAATAACAGAATTATATTTGCAAGGCTATGGCACTTACAAAGCTTTACAGTGTGTTCATTAAATTTTCTACAACAAATATTCATTTTTATGATCAATTCTTACCTTGTTTTCTCCCACAGCTGTTCCTTTAAGGCTGTTTTAGACCTTCAGTCTTCCCTTATTCTTTAGATTTCTGTACATCCTGACATAAAAATGTGTGCATTTCAGATTAATGTGAACTTCCTTGTATTTTCACTACAGTGTGCATTTTTTTCTTGTAAACATTCTTGTAAGATTTTTTTTTTTTTTTTTTTTAACCACCATAGAAAAGCTTGATCACAGAAGATGCAGGTGAAAGAGCGATGATCAGAGTTGTCTGCACATGAATTGTGACCACTCATATTTCTGGGAAAATGAGTTACATTGTAACCAGAAAACATTCCTGTCCTTGACAGTATGACACACTAAGTGAATTATCACATTAGTTAAGATGATGAATTTGAAATAAAATATCTAGCGCCATATGATTTCTGGTTGTTAGCCATTTTTCTTGTTGTGATCTCAGAAAGAATGATAAAGAAATTATTATTTACAAAATTATACTACTATCTCTTTTAAAGAAATATGCCTAGTATGAAATACACTGATGTTTCTGATCCTGTATATCAATTAAGCTTCTTTGTTTATATCAACCCCTTACCTGGGCCCTGGTAATGTTATTTGATACAGTTTTAAGAAAGCCAATTATTTGGTAAACATTACCAAATGCTGTTTTGTAAGAAATTGTTTTGCCTGCAAGCTATGAATTCTGTCTTATTCTATATTGTGAACCAGTGAATGTTACCCATAAAGTTAAGAGGGATACAAGGAACATATTTCAATTCTACCTGGGGATGCTTGAAATTTTGCACATTACCACGTAGTATTTTAAATGAAGCATGTCTCCAAGCATATCTGAACACCTATTTTAAGTAATTTTGTCATCATCATGCATGAACTGTGGCAACTTCAGAAGAAAGTCTAGTTTTCTTGCCACTATGCATTTACTGAGCTGTATTTCAACAGCTTGCTCTTTTTTTGAATGGAAAATAGCATATGAAGATGGAGAGAGGAAATTCCACTTTCTTTTCATTCAGGGATATCTTGGAAAAAGTGAAAAAATAAAAATATATTTTTCATGCGATTTTTTATAGTTCCCACATGATTTTAAAAGTAATGAGAGTTAAAGAAAATAAATCAGAAATTTTGTCTGAAGAAATAATAGTAGCAGGCTAAAAATACGCTTATCGAAAACTTAAATGAAAGTATTTGCTGATGCTCATATAGCTTCATATATATCTAGTACATGTATTATTTTTTCCCCAAATTAACTTTTTGTTAATCATCTGCAGATTGGCAAATGCAAAAGTAGCACACCAAATCACAAAGTCATTGTTCAAAATGGTGTTTTAAAATCCCGCAATGTATTCATGAATATGTGCTTTGCACTACTCAAGTGTCCAGAATAATAGGAGACAATAAGTTATTTCACCTGTGTAGGAAAGAGAGGTAGAAAGCTGACATTCTTTTTAGTATTAAAAACAAGTCCTCCAAGAGAAATAATATTTTTAAAAGGTGTAGGTTATCAAATGGTTTGACTGAATCCTGAGCCATTTGGGATATAGAATATTTGTTTTTATTTTAACAAAGTAGACAATGAAATCATTAATTTATTTACATTATGTCCATTATGATCTGCAATCAACTAGAAAAGTCCTTTTGTGACATTTTAAAGGAAGGTAAGAAGAAATCCCACAAATCCATGTATATTAGAAATCAAGCATTTCTAACAACAACTGAAATCAAAATATCTATTGAGAATTAAAATGGAATTGTTGAGTTTTTAAAGTAGAATGTTGACTCTATAACAACAGTGGGGGGCTTTATTCAGCACCTCAAGAACTGCCTCTTCCCATTAGGCAATGCAGAAATACTTAGCTAATAAGACGACCCATACATCATTTACTTCTTTCTCTACATATACAGAAGCTATTAACACTTCATACATATATAAAACAAATGCTCTGTACTTTTTCCTGGGCATCTCTGATATTTATAACCTAAGTCAGTATTTTTACTGTTTGGAGAAAATAATTGATAAGTAAACAAATGAGACAAAATTTAAGAGTCTTCCCTAGCTATTAAGATGGCATTAGCTATGAAAATGGATGAATAGAAAACTAAGCTTTCTTTTTCCAAATTATTATGTATATATTCCATATATAATAATAATTGAAAATAATTTTTTCTGAATTTTGTCTTTGTTCTTCCTACATTTTCTTCTCCAAATGACCATATTTGTAATCTCAAATCATGCAGAATACCTATTATTTATGTCCTATAAATCTATGTATTTATTTATAATTAATAAACATGGTAATTTGAAATTCAATTATGTTCATGCGCTTTCCTGACATTTTAAGTGCTGTATGCAACATAGACAGAAGATAAGAACCTATTCTAGAAAGACGGTAGAGTAAAAGCAATGCAGAAGAGTGGGGATTGAATTTACAAAAATATGGCATGTAACACATGAACTCTCAGTGAAAATTTTGAATGGCAAAAAGCAACAAAGTCATACCCATGATAGCTTAAAGCTTTGCAGGAAAAAAAAAAATGGAATTTCGATGAATAAATTTAAAAGTAGTGTTTGTTAACTGAGGTAGATTTGACTCAAAAAACAAACAAAAAAAAAACACAAAAAACCACCAAACAACATGAGAGAATGACTTTTGACTAAATATGTCAGAGAGCTGCATTAATGCCACTGAACCTCTGCAGGAAAAACATTCTGCCAGAAAGCTTACTGTGGAAAACAATGACAACATACTTTCACTTCAGGCTTCATAATGCATATGTTTTAAGAATAAAATCATTTAAAAAATTGGGTTCAGAGAAAACATGCACATTTATGCAAAATGTAGCTACTATTCTTCAAACAATATTAGAGATGTGTAGATTCATCAGTTTGCAAATGACAGCATAAGGGCCCCTGAGAATACCACAGCCTAAACACTGGTAGAGCTGCTAGCTACATTGAGATTTAGCACTTACACTTCTCCATATTGTTAATAAAACAATATTTAGAATCCTTTTATTTCACCTTTGTTTCCTCACCCTCTTACTATCATATATATGCACTGTTAAAACAAAATTTTACACACAATTTTTAACTCAGAGAAGATATATTATGGGTGATAGATCAAATTCCTACACTCTGTCTAGTAAAAGCCATAAGAAATCCTAATTACAGAGTATATTTCCAAAATCACATGCATAAATCTTATCTTTCTAATAATGGCCTCCATTTTATTTAAGAAATGTTTTTGGGTTCACAGATTACTAAAAATAATTTCCCAGTCATACAGTGTATTCCTGAATCCATTGCTGATGTTTCTCTTAGTAAATTGCAATGATGAGATGCCTTAGGGTAGCTGTACTCAAGGTCATACTCAAATTTATTGCCTTTATAGGCATGTCTATACTGTGAGCTATTACTGAAATGTCCGAGTTACTTTGCCTTGAGAAAGAGATGAGCAGGAACATTTGGTTCATGTCCCAATGTGATGGTACAGACACACATGATGTACCAGCAGATTTCATTCCATCACTTAAAACAGTCAGTATCTCATTTTGCACCTGGCTGTAACCTTTAGCTCCAACTTTTTATTTTACAAAGTTCCCAGCATGAATGGTCTCAATTCCTTTGTTGTTTATGGAAAAAAAAAAAAAAAAAGTCATGGCTTGCCTTGCCATATATAATTGGATTTCATACTGGACAACCCAGAAGAAGGACTCAGAAAAGCAGCTCTCTGAGAGGATATGTGCTCAGCTAGGAATTCTGAAACCCTTGCTTGAAAAGTGTTTTAAGATTACAGTATGTATACAACGTGAAATCTATATTTTGTCTGAAACTTAGATAATCATATATTATCATCTTCACTTTCTTGAGCGCACGGTATCAGTAAAATCCAGCATCATCTTTTTTCTCCACAATCTGCTCATCTTCAGCCATCTAAGCCATTGATTTCAATAAGAAGTGAAAGCTATGCTCACTGCAGAACGCTTACTGTGTTGAAGGAGGATTTCTTTAGGACTGTGGATAGAAATCATACACACCAGGCTGTCACTATTTTATCTACTGCCTTCAATAACATGAGCACATGTGCTAGCAGATGGAGACTGTTTAGAATGGACAAAATTAATTAATCATTGTTTCTCTATTCATCAGTTTGGTAGATAGCCTTTGCCAGAATCTTTGGTATTTCCTAACTCCATAAGGATTGAGATATTTTCCGGACATCACATATTTCACATCTAAAGAAAAATTCTAGATTAAATTTAAATTTCACTGTGTATGTGACACGCACAGTGACAAGAGCATGCATGTGACATTCTAACTTCAAAGTCTGTCAAGAGTATTTGCTTTCCATTTCTACTATAGTGACAGAACTCACCTAAGTTTTTGTCTTCTCAGATTTACTGGCTGTTTAGAGTAGGTACAACTATCCTTTAAAAAAAAGAAACAATGGAATTGTGGCTATATACAGCAGCTCAGGAATATAATTGCTCCTAAGCTCATGGACCAGGAAACACAACATAGAGCCTGCTTCTGCACCTTGAGTTCAAAGTCCTGATAATAAATTCTGAAGAGGAACTTAATTCTAAGATTCCTACATCCCAGAGGCTGTTTCTTTCAGGTGACTCACTATGAATGATGGGAGTATATAGAATTATTTAACTAAATAACTTAAAAGCAGAAGGCAAAAATTAGGTATATGCAAATTAGAATCTCAATCTTTCATTTCCCTTCCAGATCAGTATTTTATTTTCCTTTAAAATAATCACAGAACTGCTCAGGTTGGAAAAGACCTTAAAGACCATCAAGCCCAACTGCAATCTAACCATACGACCCTAACAACCCTTCACTAAATCACATCCCTGAGCACCACATCCAAATGGTTTTTAAATACATTCAGGGATGGTGACTCAACCACCTCCCTGCGGAAGCTATTCCAGTTCTTAACAACCCTTTCTCTAAAGAAGTGTTTACTGATATCCAGCCTAAACTTACCCTGGCACAACTTAAGTCCATTTCCCCTCAACCTGTTACCAGTGCAAAGATACCAACCCCAATCATGCTGTAAGCACCTTTCAGATATAGGAAGAGAGAAATAAGGTCTCCCCTCAGCCTCCTCTTCCCCAGTGTGTAATCAATGAATATACAGGTATTATAATTAAGAAATATACAGGAAAATTAAGCTGAACAGGTTATTACACTAAAGAAAAATGGATGGAAAGCTTACCCTTGTCCCAGGCTCACTAAGACTCCAAGAGAAGCAATTGCCAAAAGAGATCCTTCCCCCCCAATAGTCAGCTCTTAAATGGGTCTAGGAGAGGTGGAGCCAGGCTCCATCCCTTCCCATAGCACAGAAGAATTGTCTTCACCTGTGCTCCCATGGCTGACTCACTGCTTGCCTCAGGTGGTCAATGAGAGGTTCAGGCCGTGATTCAGCAGTTCCCATACACCCAGACTAAACAACTCCAGTTCCTTCAGTTGCTCCTTATAAGGCATCGATTGCTACTCGTTGAGATGATGTACAAGGGCTGCTCTGAAAGTAAGGTCTCCTATTTTATTATGTTGGCCTGCAACATCAGAGGTGGATGTTTGTGGTACAGCAGTAGGGGCTGAACCTTCTGAGCAATGTTCTGTTACGTGTTGTTGCTGTGTGATAGATGGCAGTAGAGGGGCAGCCTGACAAAATGGTATCTGACATGGAAGTACATACGAAGCAAAGGCGTGTCACTGAATTCCTCCATACAAAAAAATGATACTTGTGCAGTGTGCAGGTTTTTGTTCATCATGGGTGAAAATGCTTAGCTAATGATGGTCACTATGTTGAAACTCACTGAGAATTTGCTCTGTGACATGTTGTGCTTTTTGTATCTGTTGCAGTTTCCAGGGAAATAAACAGGAGCCAGTACTTTAGGAGCAACCTACACATCTCTGCCTTTTAAGCCTGCACCTGAAGTTAAATTCTTACTCTCATATAAAAAGCCCTATGTATATTTATAACAAGTTAACTTTAAGTTAGTCCTATTATATCTTATGTGTCCGGTTTCTATACACATCATTCAATGGACTTCTTTTTAGACTATTCTGTTAAAACTAAATAAATTCCTAAGCTCAGTAACAAAGGAATCATTAAAGTAGGTTACAATTCTGCTTCGGAGGACTTTCATTGTCATCCTACATCTTTGAATTGGTACAATATATTTTGTGGATTTCAGGGAACAGTTCATTTTCTAATGGTCTGTAAAGAGAGCAATGGTGTACAATGATCGGCTGTTAGTGATTACTAGTAACTATGCTAAAATATATGTTCCTGCTAGTAAAATATAATAAAGGCTAGTATTTGAAAAAAATCATTTTCTAAAATACAAACTAAATCTTAATTACATTCCCATAATGCTTTCATATGCCTCAGTTTAAGAGATCAGTCTACTAAAACAAATATATATATATATATATACATACATAAATATATATATCACTCCCAGTTTCTAATTTGACAGTGTCTTGCAGTTCTGTGGTATGGATAGAATTTCTTTGGAAAAATCTCTTTTCTTCTGCACTTCCTATCTTAGCTCATTTAAATGCAGTAGCTTGGATTATATAAAAATTCATGTCAACTTGTCCTTCATGTTAGGTGTTCTGATCACCCTAAGAGTATTCATGGGCCATAAACCTTTTTAGTGGAGAGTATTATTCAAGCTGTAACACAGAAGAAAATAAAATATTTTATTCCTCAGCTCTATTCACTTTTCAACTTTTGACTATTTGTCTATTGATTAACGTGTTGTAGTGACAGCCCTACAGGAAAATCCCTCTTTTTATTCCTCACAGCTTTATCAATTTTTCCACATTGTTTTAAGTAGGACCTAACTCTATTCATAAATTTAAAGATTTTCTATTCTCATGTAGATTATTCGTGTATATAACTCTCAGCAGTATAAAAGGTTGAAGGCCTCAATTAACAATGTAAGCATATCAGGCGTGGAAAAGGAGAGAGTTTAATTTCAAATTCCTTTCGGCACTGTTTAATGCTGTGTTCAGATTGGTCATAGCTGAACATTCATCTGTTAGATCAGCAGCACTAGCATCAATTCCAATGACCACTCTGCCCCTGATGTCATCTTATGTGTATATAACTATTAGAAAAACATTAAAGGAAAGAATAAAAGAACTGTATTGTACCCTATAAAATAATACTGGGATTTTCTTTTTTTTTCTTTCTGTCTTTATTTACTACATCTCTTGTATGGATTTGGTAAAACAAACAAACAAAAGAACGTAAATGTCATTAAAGCAAATTAATAATCAAGTTTGTGATGCAACTACTTTGAGAATAATCTGATTTAATTCCTTGATACCCAATACATATTAAGTTTTCTCATCTGTTACATAATTGGTCATTTCAGTTAGTAGGAAATGCACTAATGTTAGCAGGAAAAGCACTGCAGCATTTTATGGTACATTCCTCTCTTTTGTATCATATTTTATTCAAAACATAACAAGACAGCATGATGCAGGTATCTACATTATTTTTATATATATTGCACACAATATACATAAATATAGATACATGTGTGGATGAATAGTTACATATATTTTTATGTAGAGACGTATACTGGGGGGGGGGGGGGGGGTGCACTTCATTTTTAGTTGTCTACAGAACATCAGAACCAGTGCAGTATTTGAACACTTTCTAATTCCCACTATTTCCTAAAAGCTACACGCCTTAATGAGCACAGTGGAGTCACAGTAAGTTTGCAAAACCTTTCCTCTCCCTACTTTTTCCATCCTAGTCTGTGAAGAGATTCTTATTTATTCACATTAATTGACTATTTTTCTACTCTGAAAAAAAGTACTGCCTTTAGGGAACATTAAAGCCTTTTGAAACACATTCCCATGGCCGACAACTACAATTATATTTACTGCTCATAACTGAACTACAGAATTCAAGATGTGAGACTTGTTATGAGTCTTAATGGAAAATTTCTCTTAGTTTTAGGCTGATATTCTTACTCATAGAATCATCAAGGTTGGAAAAGACCTCTAAAATCATGCAATTCAATTGCCTACTTACCACCAATATTTCTCACTAAACCGTCTCTCTTAGTACAATATCTAAACATTTCTTAAACATTGCCAGGGATGGTGATTCCAACACCTCCCTGGGCAGCCCATTCCAGTGCCTGACCAAGAACACCATAAAGAGAATAAACTTACTCTCTTAGTAAGTAATGTAAGTCAGTGAAATGACTAAATCAAATATTTTATGGATAAATTTCCTTTCAGAATACAAGAAAGGTCACAATTTACAGAATTTGCAAAAAAGGTGATTTAATTATACGTACTCAAAGTAAAGTGGAATGAAAACATTTTTTAAGAGTTAAAGAAAACTAGACTTGAAGTAATAATGACCTCTTTTCTCTATCTTGCTCATATTTTGCACTGACAAAGTCAATATTATGTCTTTGCAGAAACAACAAAATGCTCACTTACTATGTCTTTGTGATTCAGGATTCATACACACAGCTTATGTTCATGATGTCATGTAAATATAGAACTACTACACATTTGTTTTTGATTGCCACTTCAGTATCCCTTTCACTAGAAAGCTAATCCAGGTTTACCAAGAAACCCTAATTTTGGTTAGGCTGGGCTAACATTAGCATACCAGTAAATACCACGTAAACTGTACTTGCATGTTTTTTTCTTAGCTTTCATAGTTTACTGCTATGGCTTCTATTATTTCCAGATGACAGGACACAGTGCTGAAATATATGGGAAAATATGGTTAAATTAATGGGCTTCCTGCAAACTAAATCATTCTAAATCATAGAACATGGCTTCTGCATTATCACATGGTTGCTTAAAAGCAAAAAGGCAAATTACAATGCTGGAATTTCCTTAAATAGGTTATCTGATGAACTGATTCCTGCAGAGGTGGAGAAGTGTCTTATATTCTTATGCCTGATGCACATGCCTTCTCCAAGAGATCTCTATATCTGTTTTAAAGTCATGGGCAGAGAATTTATATTCCCACTGGATATATTACCGATTTCACAACACAAGTGTGAAGATTCTATCTAGACTAAATGTGGTGTTCAGCTTTCGTCATTTAAAAGAGCTCAGATGTTCTTCAATAGATTAAAGCTCACAATCATAATACCTGTGGCAAGAGTTTGATTTTCTTCACACAGGAAATTAAGACTGGCTGTTATTAATTTTCAGATATCAGAAGGATGAAAGAAAAATACATACTGGGACTTGTTAATTACTAGATCTTAAAAATGTACCCACACTAAATGGTGGTCTGTTGCAGATCTAACAGAAAGAAAAAAATAAAAATATCTTTTAAATAATTTTCCAGTCACTGGAGTACTTTCTGAGGAATATACAAAACTTTCCAAAACTAATGCCTTTTATTTATTTCCATGGAAACTACAGAAGATTCACCAGTTGGTAGAGCAAATTCTCAGCTACAAACCACTATACTTGAATACAGTCACTATGCACTTTTACAAGTGATGAACAAGAGCCTGCATGCTAGTAAGAATACGCACTAGCAGAAATGACCCATTGTTGCTGTTGCCACTGCTGAAACACACCACCCACCGCCTCACCGTGCTCACATCCACTATTCGGTCTCCATTCAGCAAGTGTCAATGTAGCAAGTGTCAATGTGGCAATTGTCAGCAAGTGGTCTCCGTTCAGCAAGTGGTCTCCGTTCAGCAAGTGTCAATGAGTGTAAATGGCTTTGTTTTTTTTCAGCATGGAGAAATTCATTTCCATACCTTTGCTTCATACACACATAGATGTCGGCTGCCATTTTGTCAGACTGCCTCTCTGCTGCTATCTGCCTCACAGCAAAAAATAAAAAAGTAAAAAAAATTAGCAGAATACTGGTGGGAAGGTACAACCTTTACTGCCATATCACCAATCCACCACTGACACTGTAAGTAAACATAGTAAGATAGAAGGCATTACTTTGGGGACAGCCCTCATACACCTCCTGACTGTGATAGATAACTGTGTCTCTTTTGTTAGGTTTGGCATAAAAGATTGTTGTTTTGTTTTTTTTTTTCTAAAGAAATGTTAACATGTTTCTATGCTCCCATCATTTTTTTTTTTTTCTAGTATTACTGAAGATGCAAAAAGCTACTGGTGCTCTAATAGGTTTAAAATGTGTTTTGAAGGGTATAAAGACACCAAGGAAAACTCATGATCTGCCTCTGGGAATATTCTATTTCTGTATTGACTGAGAAAGCTCTGCATTTACTGCACATTTTTCTGTTTTATTATTGTATTC